TATGACATTTATTAACAATATAATACTTGCAACACTAATTTTATTACTTTGACAATTGTAAGATATGGTAGATTATTATTTATTTATGTGACTATTGGTCGCATTTCAATATAAAAAATTATATATGAGAAGCAAGAGACTATTTTCATAGCCAACAAAATGGCATTCATGACTAATTTGGATTAATGGAATTGGAGAAAAAAATAAAAAGAAAAAGAATAAAGTGTCAAGAGTAGAAAAATGGAGAAAAAAAAAAAACAAAACTCCTCATAATTCACAGAACTTTTTTCTTTCAAGAGTTTAGAGATTTGGAGAGAAACAAAAAGGGTTATTATAATAAGTAATTTTAAAAATTTTCTCTTCTCTTCTCTATATATTACAAACAATTTGATTAATTTTTAAGCAAGTGGAATTTATGCCATTATCTTTTTTCTTGTTTTTTTTTTTTTTTAAATGTTTTTCTGTCTTTTTTTATTTCTTAGTTATTCAAACAATTTGTAAACAAATTTAATGTGGCTATTAGAAACATAAAAATAACAACCTAACAACCCAACATATACGTATATGTATATATTATTATGTTGTTTGTCTACATAACAACAAAGGTTGCAACAGGATCCATGTACCCTCCTATCACTAATAACATTGTGTTTGGTAGGAGAGAAAGGGACATTAAAGGAGAAAATGAAAGAGAAAAGGAATATTATCATTCTGTTATCATGTTTGGCTGAGAAAAAAAAATCAAATAAGTAAAATATCTAAACCTATATTTTGTGGTTTATTTGAATGGTTAATGTCTTGGTTCCTTTTTCCTTTCAATTCTCTCCCAATAACCAACCAAATAAAAGATTTTTTCTTTATAAAATAAAAAATAAAAAAACTCAAAATGCTTTGTGCACGAAATTATAAGACAAAACAATACACAAAAAATGCATTTTGTCACTGAAATTTAATTTAACACCAAATTTGAGATGAATCTTAGCTACAAAGTAAGTTTTTGTTTTCTCATTTTTTTTCTTCTATTTTTCTCTTATCAAACTTACCATTAAATGCACACGTGAATGAATTAGCACTTGAATAAATTGTTGACGGTGATTTTTTTAACTTATCTTTTTGACAAATCTCTCTTCTTCTTCTTCTTCTTTTTTGTTTTGTTTTTTTTTTTTGTTTTTGCCCTGGATATAAACAAAAGTTTTATATATTTTTTTTATCACTAAACACAAAGTATTGAAATTCATATTAATAAATACCGGTGAAATTGATAATTTCATATATACTAGTAAAAAAATGAAGTAAAATTTCATTTATGTATAAAATATTGTTGTCGTGCTCTTTTTTCACTACCAAACATAACCATTAAATGGAGTACAAAAAAAAAACATAACCATTAAATGCACCCACGTACATACTAGTACTCGATCCACTTGAATAAATAGTTTGACGGCAATTTTTTTGAATTTTTATCAAATTTTTTTACTACTAAGTTCTCATTTGGGATGAATTTTTTTAGTTTGATTTTTATGTTTATTTTAGTCAGACTAAAAAAGTTTTGTTTGTGATGATTTGTAATTTTTTTTGTAATTGATTTAATGGTTGTGTCCTCATTTGAAATGGACTTTTTTAGTTTGATTTTTATGCTTGTTGTAGCCTACCTAAATTTTTTTTGTCTGTGATGATTTTTAGTTTTCTTTGTAATTGATTTGATGGCTGTGAAAGAAAAAAATTATATGATTATGTTGACAACAATCTAGTTTAGATAAAATCTATAGGAAAGAGTCGACAGAAAAACCAATTTTCACAAACAAAAAAACTGATCAAGCAATGTGGTTGGTGTCCTATTCCTTGATAGATTCAAGGATTTCTTTAGATGTAATGTGAAGAAACAAGTGCAAACAAACTGAAATTTGATTGAATAACACTCAAACTTGTCATTTAATTTCAAGAATCAAATTACAAGCTTAAAAATTATTACAATCGACAGGGCCAAGCTGAGTATAAAAGTTAAATTACAGACGCACTATTCTTAAGTTAAGGTAGACTACTCCTAGATAGGTTACACTACTCCTAAATTTTACATGAGTTGTAAATTTGGTTGAAGGTTCTTTCTTCTTCGAATTTTTAGTTTATATATAACTTCACTGGTTATGCCATGCTGCCACGTGTCCATTTGCTGGCTTTCCATATCTGTCCATAATCTGTAACTTGCATTTTCTTTTCTTTCGAAGTTGCCAAGTGTCACACCCTCGACTTCCTTTTTGAATCACTACCTTTATGCCCTTGAATCTTGGACCTTTATTGCACATGGTTATACCTCTGTCGACAAAAGACGTCCAACTTATGGTGTCAACACTGCCTCTCCATATCTGCCCATGATACTATTACAACTGCTGCAATTGCCTTGAACTTTCCTTCTTCTTGAAGCTGCTATGTGTCACATCCTCAATCTTCTTTCTTGGGCCACTAACTTCATACCCTTGCTTCTTGGACCCCTTCTGCACAAGTTCATGCCTTTATTAACAGAAGATTTCAAATTTATGATACCAATAGATTATAATCTAGATGTAATATTTTATCTTATTATCTATTTTAGTCTTTTTTTTAATCTTTATTAACTATTTTAACCAAAAAGTTACGTCCCAAATACCATCTAAATACAAAGCGCTAGAATTAACATTAATAAATATCAGTCATTGATGAAAAATAAAAAGTTAAAAAAATAATTGTAAACTCATTTAAAGTACAAATAATTTATGCGTACAAATGAGTATCATACTTTTATAAATTTATAATTATTTTTTTAATTTCTATTTTTTTAAAAAATATTTTTCCTAGAAAAATCAAGTAAAGTCCAGTTATGTAAGGAAAAATATCACATCAATGGAATGTGAAAAAAATAATTATAAATTAATAAAAAAAATTATATATATTAATAATTAAATTTATAATTTTTTTCATGAATTTATATATATATATATATATATTTTCTTTGAAATCACTAGTCATTTTTGGTTTTAGACCAAGAAAACCCCTTCATGTAAAACAAGTTTGGGGAATGGACCAGTAAATTCCGTTTTGTAAACTTATAATCTATAAGGTCTTAAATATTTTTTTGGTGACTAAGTGGTTCCTTAAATTATTTGTCGACTATTTTGCCATTGTTAGTACAGTTGGGGAACATGTGGCGTGGTTATGTGTGGGGAAGGTGGTGGGGTGTTTGTATGTCACGTTGTTCGAAAAGCGCACTAGTAACTTTTTAAAATTTGATTGTTTTTACAGTTGTGATTGGGAGCCTGAAAGAGCTTCCCCCGAATGCCCCGAATCTACGAAACGACGCCGTTTCGTCGTTGTAATTTTTTTTTTTTTTTCCGATCAGAAATCAGAAGCAGAAGGAAGGCGAAGACAGAAGGAGAAGAGAAGAAGAAAGAAGAAGAGAAGAAGGCAGAGGGGAGGCGACGGCGGCCGGGCGGAGGCAGCCGGACGAGCTGCGACGATCCGCCGGGCTGCGACGATCCGCCGAGCTGCGACGATCGGACGATCGGCCGGAATGCACGGGCCTCTCTGTGTGTGTGTGTCTCCATTCCCTCTTCTCTCTTCTCTCCCTCTCTCCTCTTTCCCTCTCCCCTCCCCTCTCTCTTTCTCTCTCTCTCTCTTTCTCCTTCTCGAATTTGAGCTCTGCAGGTCGAAAATGGCAGAAAAAAAGAAAAAAAAGGCTAATGCCCAAAACGATGGGGCATTCGGGGCAGGGAAATTCGAGGCACAAATCTTTATTCTTGTTTTTAACACGTGTAGTGTGGAACGTAAATTCCTTACTAATTGTTTTTTGGCATGTGACGTGAAGACACGCAATAATTTCATCAAATTAGGTCTGTCACGTTGGCGTGTTACATATCACATTTAGGAAAAGTACACTAAGGAGTTTTTAATTTTTTTAGAGTGTCACAACACACCCGTCACGTGGGAAGGTGGTGGGGTGTTTGTGTGTCATGTTGTTTCAAAAGCGCACTAATAGTTTTTTAAAGTTTAGTTATTTTTAACCCGTGCAATGTGGGATGTGAATTCCTACTAATTATTTTTTGGCGCATGACGTTAAGCTACACAGTAATTCAATCAAATTAGATCCACCATGTTGGAGTGTCACATGTCATGTTTAGGAAAAATATACTAAAGAGTTTCTAATATTTTTTGGGTGTCACAACATACCCGCCACGTTGTCACATTTAAAAAAAGTATACTAAGGAGTTTTTATTTTTTTAGAGTGTCACATCATACTTGTCACGTTGTCATATTTAGAAAAAATACATTAAAGAGTTTTTAATTTTTTTAGAGTGTCCCATCGTTGGAGTGTCACATTAAAATCCGCCACATTAGAATATCACATCATATTTGTCACACATTCAAAAAAAAAAAAAACTTCTCCAATTATCTAGTGAGAATATATCTGTCTCACCAATACCTATCCACATTTGAAAATGGACTTACTATTCACACACTATACTTAATAAGGACTTCTTAATCAATTATTTAAAACGTGGGACTAAATGATACAGAAGTTCCTAAAATAAGACTTTTCAATAAAGAAAAATGTTTGAGAGTCTCATTTTTTAAAGACCTCCACAATCCTCTTTGGATCTCTACTATTGATGTATATGTAGGACTCACTCATGTATGTGTGGGGCTCACACCATCAATAATGGAGATTCAAATGAATTATGAAGATTTCTAAAAAATGAGAGTCTCAATCATTGTTGTTTAATATATTTTCCAACAATTTTTTTAACAAAAATTTTGTTAAAATATTTTCTTTTATTTTGCTTGGGAGCCTTTGATTTTTTCGCTGTAAATAAATTTAAATGCACGCGCGTAGAAACCACCACTCGATCCCTATGACTAGATTTCATTTCAGCCTCTCTCTCTCTGCCCCGTACTACTATTTACAAGTTGACGGCGATTTTTCTATCTTATCTTTTATCTTTTTCACACAAATCTCTCTCTCTCTCTCTCTCTCTCTCTTGGTGTTTTTTGTGCTCTGAGCTTTCAAACTACAGTGCATAAGGACTTTCAAAAACTACTCACTTCTCTCCCCCCCAAACCCTAACTTTCTCTCTCCCCCTCCTTCTCCCCCAATTCACCTCTCAATTTACATTATACACATATTTATATATGCATATATAGATCGTGGTGGCTACAGAGACATGGATGATGATGATAAGGACAGAGTCGATCCAGCGATTACCGAGTCGAGCTGGACATTCGGTGCTGTCTCGGACAGCGTTTACTTCTTCGGCAACGATAGAGACAACAGTATACTGAGCGAATTTGGTTGGAATCTTCGGCCCGAGTCGGCGTCGGCGGAGGAAAGTGGTGGCGATGCCGGTAGTTTTGATCGGATCGGTGTGGAGGAGGAGGAGAATGATAGGCTGTTGATGGCGGCGGAGAGTACCATCACCACCACTGCTACGCACTGCACTGGTGGTGAACCGGGGATCCAAACCCGTCCTGTTCGAGACGCGTCAAAGTCGAATTCGAGCTCTTCGGAGGATCCGCCGGAGAATTCCACTGCCTCCGGCGAGAACAAACCACCGGCTGAGACATCGTGAGTGTGTGTGTGCTTTTGGTGTTGCGTGAACACTACTCCATGTCCTGAGGCTAGTATCGTAATAAATCGGGCATTTCATGGCCAAAATCACAAGCACAACAAAATACTCAAAAAAAATTATCTGAATTTTTTGTTTTTGAAATTCTGTGTCCGTACTTCTCTCTTCCATTTCCTAGCTAATAGGTGACACATCAGAAAGTGGGTCTAGGTTTTTTTTTGGACATAAATTATAATAATATTCTTTTACTAATTATATAGATTCCAAAATTACATCAATTATTCAGTATTCATGTAATATCATACAGTATAGTATTGTTTATATAATACTCAAAATTCAATTTTGTGAAAATTTTTGAAGTATTATAGAATTTTGTTGAAATTTTTTATTGATTGAAAATTTCATATAAAAATATCTTATAATTTTTCGGAATATTGAGAGTTTTTTTTTGGAATGGAGAAGATTGTGGGTTTGACAGAGAGAACTCATAATGGGGGGAGATTTTTTATGAAGATTTTGAACCCCACCGTTATTGCGGCGGCAATGGCGTGGTATGACTTTTTTGGGTGGAAAATTGCTTTGTAAAATTACATAAAATGATGGTGCATTGAATATTACATGAAAAGAGGAAGAATTTTTTATTTTTATTTTGGCATAATAGGAAAAAAGGTGAGAATATATGTATAATTTCACTTTTTCTTAACATGAATGCGTTGCTTTTGGGCATGTGCATTAGAATTTATTTGGTGCACACGCATTGGTTCTTCTTTGTTCTTCTACAATAAAATGGTAGTAAAGAATCTGTCTGTAAGTTGCTTGACATAATGCTTTAATGCTTGTTAATGCTTCTCTTAAAGCTGTTTGGTGGAACAGTCATAGATAGTAGGTTTCTTCTTGAAATAGATCTATTTTATGGGTGTCAGTTCAGTTTCAATTTACTTTTCATAAATTTAGATAGAAATTTAAAAAATAAAAGAAAAAAAATAGGTAAACTATGATATTTTATTTTTAAATGTTTTTTTTTAACATTTCACTCACCTTAACCCAAGTTCATGATCAAAACATAATTTTAAGAATAATGGGGTAAACACATTAGAACACAGGCGTATGGGAGACAATTAATTAAGTCAACCTATAAGTTTTTTAATCTTGAGCTGGAAATTTAATAAATTTTAAAATATATTTAAATCGAACTGATTTACCTTTGGAGTTAATATCAAATGAATTTGATTGAGCCTTCGATTTTTTCGCTGTAAATAAATTTATTGAGCCGAGTTTTATTCAAGCTCCGAAAATTAATGAGTTTCAAATTTTATTCAAACTTTCACTTGTTTATAGGTTGTTTTGGAAAGATTGTTAAAAGTTGATTTTTTGATTTTTTTTTTTTTGACTTTTTTTTAAAGAATATATAAAAAATTTGAAAGATGATATGCCTCAAAATAGGTTAAAACTAGAAAGCACCTTTTAACCAACTTTTCAAAAGAGGCCTATATAACAAGCTAATCTTAAACCAGTGTTTAACAAAATAAACATAAGTCCAACTTGAATAGTGATTTGTTTACAGCCTGCTTCTTGGTAGTCCGCAAGTTCTTCCTATTAGTAGTTCATGGCCTCTCTCTCTTTAGCTGTGGGCTTTAGGGCATCCATGTGATGATATTTCTTTTTCCCCCTAATGTTATTTCCCATTATGTTGGCAAACTATGTTTTTACTCCTTTAAATGAAGGGCATTATGTTTACCCAGAATGGAAAATGGAAGCATTTCAAGAAAAAAAGTGTCATTTGAAAATATTAATTGCTACCAGCTCTGATATAAAAAGGAAACATATTTGACACTTCATGCAATTCTACCAAGAAATGCTATAATGGTTGAGTTTACATGTCTCTTAAGATTTTATTGTCCATTACTTACATTTAGCTAATATCAATGCATATAATTGAATCCTCTTAGACCTTCACTTCCTACGACATAATTCACAGATATTCTCGGTGATATATTTTTAAGAAACTTCTTTATTATTTTCCCTTTGTTTTGTTTTCTTTAATACTTTCTTTTCTTTTCTTTTTCTTGAGTAGTAGTTTTGCAGCAACCATAAATCAATAACCTCATTGAACAATGAATACTCTGAAAGAGTTACACATGCTTTTTTTCGATCAATCAGGTACTAGATTGTCTAGCTTGAATCTGTAGAGGTTTTTTTTTTTTTTTTTTTTTTTTTTTTTTTTTTTTTTTTTTATATATATCTTAATGAACTCCTGATCATTATTTGATTTTTTCTTGTTCAGTCTTTTTTCTTGTTCTGAAATTTGCTTCCACATTGATAATCTTGTACTAAATAATTTATAGGAGCAAAGTTAAAAAGAAAGTGCAAAAGAGAATCCGACAGCCTCGTTTTGCATTCATGACAAAGAGCGAAGTTGATCATCTTGAAGATGGCTATCGATGGCGGAAATATGGCCAGAAAGCAGTTAAAAATAGTCCATTTCCTCGGTAGGTAGTCACTTCTCTCTTTAAGAATTCCACTTGTGAAGACGATATCATCAATTTTTGTTTTAATTTCTAAGGTCATATCATCCCCTGTGTACTTTTGAAGTGTTTCCATATGAAAATGTTGTGAATTATATTTCCCTTTCTTGCCTAGGAGGTTTAGATATCTGTTCCAGCTATTCGTTCTTTTATTTATCAAGGACTATCGGTTTAAATTTACTTTCAATATTCTCTTTCTATTTCTTCTTTTATTTATCAAGGACTAGATATCAGTTTAAATTTATTTTCAATATTTTGTCTTTCTACTTTTTCACATTGCATCACTTTTTCTTTTTCACTTATATATGTGCATGAAATTTTATGTACTTCTAAAGGCTGCAACGGCTCGAAGTAAACCAAAGTTACACTATCTGTTTAATTTTGTTTTTGTTTTTTGTTTTTTTTAAAAAAATTATTTAAATTCTTCTCCTTTATCTTGGTTCCATTTTTTTACTTATTTTCCTATAGCATGCTCATATTTCAGATGGTTTAGTTTCCTGGGCTTACGGTTTCGTCTTTCCCTTAAAAATACAAGTTGCATATAAACTAGTTGCATAAAAATAACTTTTTTTTTTTTCCCCTAAGACTCACATAATATCAATGCAAATTTTTGGGATAAAATTCATAATTTACTTTAAATCATTAAAGCAGAGTGGCATTTGGGGGGGAAATGATATGAGACAAGTGAAATAGAGATTTGGGCATTTGAAACATCAAATAGGTATAATTGATACTGTATTCTCAATTACCTAAATATGGTTTCTTGCCTAAATGACGATGAGTTAGTAAGGAAGCCAAAAAATGGAAATGTTGCAGAAAAACAAGACTATATATCACATTCTCTATGTACCATATTTTTCAGGAGCTACTATCGCTGTACAAACAGCAAATGCACAGTGAAGAAAAGGGTTGAACGATCTTCTGAAGATGCAACTATTGTGATCACTACCTATGAAGGCCAGCATTGTCACCATACAGTTGGATTCCCCAGAGGTGGACTTGTTTTAAGTCATGAAGCTACCTATGCAAACCACTTGACTCCTTCAGCCTCACAATTTTATTATCCAAGAGCCCAATTTCCTCAACAATGTTCTCATAGCGTACCACAAACGCACCACGTTCCAGGTGATGCGAGAGAATCCCATTTATTGGCCGAGCCAAATCCTCAACTTCCCACTGATGAAGGACTTCTCGGCGACATTGTACCTCCTGGAATGCGCAATCAGTGACAAGATGGTACGCTCTAATTCATGTTAACTCTTATTTCAATCTCTTATAATCTTTATCTTTTTTATGGATTTTCTTAGTAAAAGCTATTTCCCACAGGGTTCATTGATGTTTAAGAAAGTTAAATGCATTAAACAGATGACTTCATGCAAATTTTAAATATTAATAAGTTCATTCCAATAATCAAAGAATTATTATTATTATTATTATTATTATTATTATTATTATTATTATTATTATTATTATTTTAATGTAGGTGATAGTAGTAGCAGAAAGCTATAAAGCATAAATTTTAGTTAAGTGACTCTGCACTAGATTAATTTTCTTGTAAAATATTTGAATTCACTACGTCAAGCCTCCAACTTTCACTTTTATGACCTGCAGCAATTGTGCTAATAATGTTCTTTTTTTATATAATTTATCCAAACATATAAGAAAACTTAAATGCATGAAAGAGTGCAATCTTTTGATGGGAGAATGTGCAAATGCAACCAAAATATATATATATATATATATAATTACTATCTTGAAATGGATTTCTGGTTTCATATTATAGTTCAAAGTTTTCCATGAGTCCAAGATCCGTAGAAACCCTAGAATAAATATGGTACGTGATTGAAGCATGAAATCAACTTTACAAATTATTGGGTCATCTAAACTCCAGCTACATTTTTTATTTTTCACTAGCTAAAGTACGAAAAAAGTACTCTCTTTATTTTACCTAATTACTTTAGCTATTGTGTTCTCCAACCATACTATTTATTTTAGCTAATCATTCAAACTAATTTAATTAATTTTAAAACAAAAAAAAATAGTAATTGTTGATATTTTACTAATGTAAATTTGCAATAATAAATTTTCCCATACAAGCATACAAAATCTATAGAATGAGGAGAAAAAAAATACAAAATACAAAATATGTTATTCTGTAATTCATCAAACAGAATTAAAAGAACATATAAAATTGCTACATACACATGCATATATAAAATCTCAAATCCAAGACATAAATATACAAAAATCCAAGACATATACATATATATTTGTTTGGAGAGCCTATGGGGCTCTTTAATTGTAGTTAGCAAAAAAATAGGATGGTAAAGTAGCTAGCTCAATAGCCAGCCCATTGGAGCCCAAAATTAAAGTTATATTGGCTAAAATGCCTAACAAGCTTTTTTTAGCTATCCCCTTGGAGATGCTCCGGGTATTATTCTCCTGAAAATTAGGAAAAACAAGAAAATACATGAACGAACATTCTTATACTATCTCCAAAATTGTATCTACTCCTAGAAATTGAATGGCAGAATATATGCATTTAGGATTGAGCAGCAGAATATGTGTTAGAACATAAACATAAACCATCTTTTTCCTACATTATAATCACACAAGGAAGCGATCACTAGTCATTAGGTGAGATCACCAGTATGCTGTATGCCTAATCAGAACATCAATCAATATGATTTTTTTTCATAAAACAAAAGCAGTTAGAATATTGGTCCAAGTTAGGAAAAAATTTAACACAGTTTATATAGTCTCAATTATCGGCTCCGCATTTGACATTTGAAACCCACAACATGAATGGCTTATTAGGTTCACTAGATGTAGCCTACATCAAAAAATAAAGGGTAAATTATGCAAATAGTTTGCAATTTACACGATATGTTAATTTAGTCTCTATTATTTTAATTTGCTTGATTTTGCCCTTAATGTACCAAAATGTGTCATATTAGTCTAATAAATAACGGCTGTTAGGTTTGGTTGCTGAAAAGTTGCCACGTGCTCAAACAATGTATCAATTTGGTCCTTGTAGGTTATACAATGTGTCAATTTGGTTCCTACTGGTTTAAATTTGCTTGATTTTGATAGGGACCAAATTGGCACATCGTATAAACTATAAAGACCAAATTGACACATCATTTGAGTTTTCGTCCACCAAACCTAATGGCCGTTATTTGTTAGACTAATATGACACAATCCGTTAAATTAAGGGGCAAAATGAAATAAATTAAAATTACAGAGATCAAATTGACACATCGTATAAATTATAAGAACCATTTGCATGATTTACCCAAAAATAAAATAAAATTCCATGAGTGTTATAAGAGAGTCAATGAAGCGTGGTTAATTTTTTTCTTTCTTTCTTTGATATGGTAGGCCATTGTCTTGAATCTGATGGTTAGGCGTGGTGTGCTTGTTTCCTTGTGGTCCTGCTTTATTATTAACTTTGTGTAGCTCTTATTGGTTGTGAGCTAATCCACCACTGTTTAGTTCTGATTTAATGCTAAACTAGAATACTCTATCCTGTTTTTTTATTTTATTTTATTTTTTTATTTTTTATTATTAACTTTGTCATGCTTTCTAATTAAGTATTCGAATGGTTTTTGTAGGATAGGGTTCACTTTGAAGTACCTTTGATAGAATAATGATCCCTAATGATGCTCAATAGGACTTTGTTTACACACATACCCAATTCCCTTTTTGAATAAAAAAGAATGAGACTGAACCCATGTGTGAGTTACATTTCTCTCTAAAGTTGTTGTTGGGGCAAAATTCATTTTACTCCTTGTGATATGAGCATTTGCACTTCATCCTTATATTGTAATAATAGATAATGAGTCCCTTATGATTTTGAATTAAAATGCAATGTTAACACCCTTAATCATAAGGGGCTCTTTTGCCTATGATCGAAGTACATGAAGTGAAATACAAATGTCCAAATTACAATGGATAAATTCAATTTTATAATTTTATTTTGTTTCTCTATTCCTTATATATTTTTAGTTATAGAATCATCTGTTGAGATTTTTATGCATCCAAATGTTAATTATATCATGAGATTAGAAGTATATTACGATCAGAGAAAAGAAAAAAGAAAAATCTCTGAGCATGAATTACATTGTATTTCTATTCAACCTTGTCCTCTTAGAAGAGTCCAGTAGTCACAAGATCTAGAATCTATTACAAAAAGTTCACCCAGCTAAAGTTTTATTTCAAAGTTCGTTCGGAAGTCACTTTTCCATGAATTTCAATTAATTTCAAAGTTCCTCTTAATTGTGTAGTTTTAGTTCTATTCAACCTTGTCCTCTTGGGTTCTGTTGTGTCCTAAAAGATTCAACTCACTTTATCACTCAAACCTAGATATAGTTTTATAAAGGGTAAGTCGCATTTTAATGTCAAAATAATTTCATTTTTATAGCTGTGTAAACTTCTTGTATATATTTATTATCGACTAATTTAGAAAATCAATCTTATCGTCTATCTACTAACAAGTGTTCAATTAAAATCAAGACAGAATCTCATATGGACTAATCTCAAAAAATTACTTATACTTAGGAAGTTTCAAACTTGAAATTATGGAGGGAGCATACTTCCAAGGCCTTGACCATCATGCCAACCCTTTAGGGTTAAATCTCTTGTATGTATGGTGCAAGTTTTTCTTATATTCAATAGAAGTCTTTTCTGTGCATGAAAAAATATTTTACTTATAGTGTAATTATTTTAAGACTATCTCACTTATTTTTAATTTTCCCTTTTATAAAACCTATTTAGTTTTGAGCTAGTTTGAATGATATCAATTCATTTGTCATGCATCAGATTATTTTTTTTAAAGAAATTTTAAATTAGTGGGACAGTCATAAAGTAATTGTACCATATATGAAATCTTTTTCTGTGCGACTTTGAAAACTTGTACCGAACACAGGAATTGATTTACAGTATACACACATGAATGGATTTGCACTATATACACAAGAGACTTGCATCATTATGAAAATTAAATTGTTTCTTCATTGTTCTAATGAAAGGCAATTTACCCTCTGTGACGGAATTTTTTTCATAAACAGATCAAACACACACAAATATTATATTTATTGGATTTTGTTTTCTTGGACTTTCTAAGTTAAGTAATGCTACAAGCTCAGAAAATTTACCAAGAAAATTACTCAAAAAAAGGAATCAATAGTCTACACCCATTGTGGATGTGGCCCATATCCAACTAATTTTAAATCTACACTACACAATCATTTTTGGAGTAAATTTTCATGGTTCATAACATATTTGTTCTGAGTTACTGAACCTTGTGACATGTATACAGGATATGCACAAGATGGTATATGAAGCAGTTCATAACATATTTGTTCTGAGTTACTGAACCTTGTGACATGTATACAGGATATGCACAAGATGGTATATGAAGCAAATGAAGAACAAGGAGCTTATTCGTGACCACAGGACTGAAGCTAGTTTGGAGCCAGATATGAGTTTTTTTTTTTTTTTTACCTGTGGAACCCTTTTCCTACATATCAAGTGGCTAACCAGTCTCACGTAAGTACTGATTAACGAGCCTCATTCTTGCATTGAACTAAGATTTATCTTTGATCCCCCCTTCTCAATCCTGATATTACTATGTCTCTACTGTGTTGTATATCATATTGGTTATGATCATTATTATATATAATGTAAATTTATTGACTATATTCTCTTTTTACTGTTCTGTAAAAGCCACTTCATTTGAGAATTATCTTTGATCCTTTCTCAATCATCATGATATCAGCGTCTCATATTTGTTGTCACTCTGTTCATATAATAGGTCTTATCACTCAAATTTGTTTTAATACATGACAAATCACATAATAAATTAAATATTATAAGAAATATGATTATCATAATATTATTGAATGACTAATTATGAGAAGGAGCTTCTCACTTTTCAATTGATCTATCTAGTCCGGTTTTCTATGAGAGTGATAGTAGGCTATTAAGGGCCATTGTTAGGAGTGTAAAAATAGGCGGCTCAAAGCCCGCCTGCGGCTCGAGGTTAGGCCGGCCTGTTTAGGCCCGTTTGGGCTCAGGCTTAGCCCGAGAACTTGGTCTTGGGCCATCATTTTGAAATTCGGCCCGTCAGTCCGTTTAAGGCCCACTCGAGGCTCGGCTCGCCTGAGGCTCAGTATTTTTTTAATGAAAATTAATAAAATTTTGGTAGAAAAAATTAAAAAAGAACAAAAAAATTGTTCAAGCCCGCCAAGCCTGAGCCCAGGTCTAGGCCCACCAGTCTGACGAAGGCTCGAATACCCCCTGGGCTTGGGCCTAATTTCTGGCTTGTGGCTCGGCTGAATTTTGGCGAGAGCCCGCGAGACCCGACATGGGCCGGGCCGGGCCAAATTTATACCCCTAGCCATCGCACTAATACCCACTAGCCCTCTCAGAAAAAAAGAGACTTTGGGGCTGTTTGGCAAAGGAATTTTTTAACTTTTTGGGTTAAAGTTTACAAAAAGATAAAATAAATTATAATAATCAATAAAATAAAATTTCACATCAAATTTATAATTATTTCACTTTTTTTCTCACAAATATTACATTCAACTACAAAAAAAATCCAACCCTCTTTCCGAACATAAATATTTTAACCTACTAAAATAGTCAAAAATTAAAATAACAAACTTTCCAAGCGAGGCCTTTACTGGTGAAAAAATTAATAGTGGTGTTTGGCAAGATTTGATTTTGGGTTTTTTTATTTTATTTTTTCCACTAAAAGACAAAGTTTTTGCAAAAAAAAAAATCCAAACAAAATATCATATCCAACTCCATAATCATTTCACTTTTTTTCTCACAAACATCACATCCAACCACAAAAAAAAACCAACTATCTTCCCAAACACTAAAAAAATTTTATCTAATAATATTCTACAACTAAAAAAACCTACATAAAAACCCACTTCTCAAACACCCACAAAGTACAAAGTATAAGAACAATTACATCAACAAAAAAAGACAAATGCAAAAAGCATCACGATAGGTAAGATCATGTCAACTAAGTTGTAGATTATTGGCATAAAACTGTAGTGGGTGATGGGTGTAGAGTTTGTTTTTGGCTTGACTGTTGGAATGGAACAATCAGCTTCAAAGACTTATTCCCTAAATTATTCAGATTGTCTAATGATAAAGTTGAGTCTTTAAGGGCCTTTGTGGCTAGAAGAGGAAATTCTGACAACTGGGTGTTTTGTTTTATGAGGGTTTTATTTCAATGGGAACAAGAGGAGCTTAATACACTTGTTCAATCTATCTCAGCAGGCCCCATGTTGAATTTGAACCTTCATACTCCGGATATGGCAGTTTGGTTAGCAGCTAAATCAGGGCAATCATTTGTCTCAACCTTGTATCAGTACACTAATTTACAGCATGGAGAAGTTATGAGTTCTTGTAGTTTGGTGTGGGTTAAATGCCTCCCTCCTAAAGTCCAATTTTTCGGTTGGCTTGCTTGGAAGCATAAGGTTAAAACTTCTATTTTTCTGCATAGAATAGGTGTGCTGAATGCTAGTTCTGGAACTATATGCTTTTTCTGCAAACAAGCCCAGGAAACAGTAGAACATCTACTTATCTTATGTCCTAAGGTATGGAGAGTTTGGGCAAGTCTGTTGCAGTGGTGGAGAGCTCAGTGGGTGACACCTAGATCTGTTGAAGAACTTTTGCAGTGGTGGGCAGGAAACAACTTCACCAAGGCTGAGAGGAGAATCTAGAATGCAATCCCATTGGTGGCTCTGTGGTCAATCTGGAAGCAAAGGAATGAACGTCTTTTCCAAGATGCCCAACCTAACTTGGAAGAGCTGCATGAAACTATCATTGTTAGGACTGCAATTTGGCTGAAAGCTAATTCAAGGGATTTCCACTTTTCCATCACTGATTTTGTGTATAATTTTGGCTAAATTAGAGTGTGCTGGGGTGGGAGGCTGTAATGCATTTGAAATCATATGTTGATGGCAATACAGATTGTTATGCTTCAGGTCTACAAAGTGTGTAGGTGAACTGCTATGGTTTGGTACATTGGTTTTGGGTGTTTTGTCTGCTAGCTGTTCTGTTTTGGTTTGAATATTTGGTGTATTTGCATTGGTTTCTGTGGGGTATGCTTGGTGGGATGCAACTGCTGGGGTTTATGGTGGTTACTGATCTGGCTGGATTACATGAGTGCAACTGGTACATATACAGATGGCTATTTCTACCCCACTCTGGTGTATTGTTTTGATCAAGTAATGGGTGATTTATTGGGTATGACTTTCGTAATAAAGAAGTTGGTGAAATAGATATTAGCCCTATTGTTTGCTGATTGAGTTGGTCTAGTGTTTGCTGCAAACTGGTTTGGTCTGTTGTTTTCTGAAGTTGGTTATTTTCTGGGTGTTTTCTGTAGTTCTGTCTCTGCTTTTTGTGATCTGTTTGCTGTTGATATGTATGCTGCTGATCTGTTATTCTGCTGGTCTAAGCTGCAGTGCCTAATTTCTCTGATTTTTTGGTTTTTAGCTCTGTTTGTTTTGCTCGTTGGTTTCTCTCCAACTAGGAGATTGGAGCTTGTTTTAGCTCCAAGCTCCTCTTTATTGATATAATTTTTCTTATAATTCGTCAATAAAGTCTTCTTTTTGCCGATCAAAAAAAAAATGTCAACTAAGTTGACACTAAATTGCACACCTTACTATTTGCTAGTACCCCAAGTTAGTAAACAACCAACCAAAGAAACAAACAAAGGAAACACAGCAAAACACAGTATAGCTACACCCTGACAAACACAAGAAAAAAACCAACACAAACAAACAAGTGCACTTGTTATGCCAAAGCACTGAACACGAACTACCAGCCACCATTCCTGATGCAGTACTGCACTTGTTGCAGATTAGACATAATATCATTGACAGAGAACACCATGGACATTGGAGAGGTCTTGATCCACAATGCTACTCTTACCTCAACAAGATCACACAATTCTTCCAAGTTTGGTTGAATTCCATTGAACACAAACTTATTTCTATGCTTCCAAGTAGACGAGAGAATAACTAGAGCGAGAGCCAACTAAATTTTCGTTTCCAACTTTTCATTCTACAACCAAACCACCACTGCAGCAACTTATTTACAAAGCCAGGCAAAACCCATTGAAAACCCCACCATTTTATAATGTTTGACCAAAGCATCCATCCAAAAAGGCAAAAAAGAAGAGCACGGTCCACTGTTTCTACCTCATTTTGACACCCAAAAAAAAAAAAGAAACACAAGTAAAATTAACATTCCCATCAAAGATACCAATTCTTTGAAGAAAACTAAAAGTTTTAACCTTATCATGAGGCCAACCACCTAAAAAATTACACTTTGGGTGGAGCACAATTGTTCCAAATTGTTCCAGCCATGTCCAAAGCAAGCCCAAGAAAATATTCACTCCAATTATAAGTCGAAGTGACACAAACAATCTTGATGGGTCTGCAACCCATATCAAATTATCTGGTTTAATGCTACAAGGTGAGGGTGCATTAATAAAAAGTCTGTTTACCTCCTTCTCCCAAGCCAGTAATACTCTTCTAAATCCCAGGTTTCATCCTTTAGTTTCTCCCTTTCTTTGAAAGAATACATTTATCACACCACGCTTGTCATTAGATAAGGACAAAAGCTTGGGAAATTCCTCCTTTAAACATACATTACCAGCTCACTTATCCAACTAGAAATGTGATCTCCTTCCATCCCCGAATACAATCATAGAATTATGAATATAAAAATTGTGCAAATCTCACTACAAAAAAAATTGTTTTTTGCGACGGCAAAACGCCGTCGCAAATACTCCAAACGCCGTCGCTAATAGTTTTTTGCGACGGGGATCAGTTTTTTGCGACGGCAGGTGGGGGGTCGCAAGAGAGGGGGTTGCAAAAGGGATTTAGCGACGGCAAGAGCCGTCGCAATTGTTTTTGCGACGGTAAAAAAATATTTTTTGCGACGGCAAAATTCTGTCGCCAAAAAACTACGAAAATCTGTTTTTTTGCGACGGTAGAGACTTGCCGTCGCTAAAGGAGTTTTGTCAACTGCCTAATCCCGTCGGTAAAAGTATCGTCGCTAATGACCATTGGCGACGGCAACCTACGCCGTCGCTAAAGGTCTTATTCTCAATTTAATACCTACCTTTTGCGACAGTATTTGAGCCGTCGCAAAAAGGTTGATACCATTTTCTTTTGCGACGGGGGAGCTCCGCCGTCTCAAAAAAAGGGCTCGAATCTGGAGTTCCCGATTTGGAGTTAGAGCCAGATTCACTCTTAGGCAAACTAGCTTCTAAGAAAACTTGAACTCGATGGTGGTTACACGCCAAAATCACCAACAGGGTCGGTTGGACGAAACTTGGACACACACCGACCGCCTAGCGCACGAGAGATCTGTGGGAGCAGACGGGGTCGAATCGGGTTCCCGGTGTTTGGAAGTTTAGAGCCGGATTCACTTACGGCAAACTAGTTCCTAAGAAAACTGAAATCGAGGTGTTAACGCCCCAAAATCACCAAACGGCGTCGGTTTGGCATGAAACTTGGCAGCACACGACCGCCTAGGCACGAGAGACTTGTGGGAGGAAGACGGGGCTCGAATCGGGTTCCCTTTTGGAAGTTAAGGCCGGATATTCACTTTAGGGCAAACTAGTTCTCTTAAGAAACTTTGAACTTCGAGGTGTTAACGCACCCAAAATCACAACG